GGTCGACGCATCGCAGAGTCGTGGCTGGAGCGGAAACCAACGAGGTTGCTCAAGCAGGCGGTAGCCCTTTGTGCCGTTTGTTGATGTAGCCGAGAGCCGAGGGTGGTGTAGCCGTGGTCGAGGTAGCCGCGCGTAGAATGTCGTGGTCGATGTCGAGTCGGGGAGCCGGTGTCGAGGATGTCACCATGGATCCACGGGCGCAAGAGCGCGCCGAGTTAGCGTGGGCGCAGTGGTGTCGAAGTAGCGGTGCGCCGGGAAGAAGACGTTGTTGACGACGCGTCGCGGCGGGTTTGCCAAGCCCGGGGACACATCGTAGACGAAGGCACGCACCGGTGTTGCCAGCACCGGGCATGCGTAGACGGATGAAGACAAAATTGACGAAGCGCCACACCAGGCTTGCCAGGCCCGGGGAAACATGATGGACGAAGGCACGCATCGGTGTTGCCAGCACCGGGCATGCATAGACGAGGACCTGCACAAGTTGTACGCCATGTCGGAGGAGTCGGAGAGGCCAGCAAAGAAGGACTCAGACGACGGTTGCGGCGTCAATCAGCGCGGAGCCGATGTCGCCTGCGGTTGTCGGAGTAGACGAAGTGGTCGGGGTAGATGACGACGACGTTGGCGACGGGCCGGTGCTGGATGGAGACGAAGGAGGTGGACGAGCGGCGGCGGCTACGTTGGTAGCGGTGGCGGCCAAAGAAGAGCGGCGGCGGCGGCTAGGTTAGGAGCGCGGCGGCGGTGCTCGAAGTAGGCGAAGAACCCGACAGCATGACGAAGACCGGCGCGGACGGTGGCGTTCCCGCGCCAAGGGAGGTGGCGCCACACATACCACAGGAAGTCAACGCGCGTGGACGACGAAGTGGACCGTGGGCCGCCGCGCTACGGCCCGAAGGGGCGACGCAGCGGCGGCGGGCAGGTCGGGGTGACGGCGGGAAGACCTCGGGGCGGCGGCAGGGACCGCGGGCCGCGGCGCGATAGCCCGAAGGGGCGCGCGGCGGAGGAGCGCGGGTCGGTGCAACCGCAGGGACGGCCTCTAGACGGCGGCGTGGACCGCGTGCCACACTCGCTACGGCCCGACAGGGCGACACAGTGGCGGCGCGAGGATCGGTGCCGCCACGGGGACGACCTGGAGTGGACGGCCTCTGGGCGGCGGTGGACCGCGGGCCGCGGCACTACGGCCTGAAGGGGCGACGCAGCGGTGACGCGGGTCGGGACAGCCGGGAGAAGAACCACGAGGCGGCGGCGCTGCGGCCCGACAGGGCGACGCGGCGGCAGCCCGATACTCGATCGGTGGAGAGGCGCGCTGAACTTGGAGACAATCTTCACGGGACCTGCAGAGGCGCGCGTAACTGACGGGCCAGGTCGGTCGCGCAGCGCAGATGAGGCGGATCGCGACGGCGAGCGGGTGATCAGGCCGATCGCGCGCGAGGTCGGGGACGCCGCTTGGTGGAGGCGCGGTGGCGGCGGAGTCCGAGATGAAGCCGGCGGCGGCGAGCGGCAGGGCGGCTATGATTGGCCGCAGCATGGCGCGAGGCCGCCGGGTCGGGGTTATGTAGGAGTCCCGGTCGGAGCAGGGCGGTGACGGCCCGCGTAGATCGACGGGCGGGCCGTCGCGCGAATGGCGGCGGTGAAGGGCCGCCGCATGACGCGAGGCCGCCGGGTCGGGGCGACCGGCGAGCCGACGCGCCACGATGCGCGAGGCCGCCGAGTCGGGGCGACCGACGGGCCGATGCACGGACGACGCGCGAGGCCGCCGGGTCGGTGAAGAAGCCGGCCAATCGTGCCGGTGTTGGAGTAGAGGCGCGCGGGGTCGACGGCGGCGGTGGGCGACGCAAACCGGATCACATAGACCGGAAAACCAAAAAGTAGACGCCGATCAAAGCGACCGGCGAGAGAGAGAAAAACCAGATCAAAGGATCAGGAAAAAGACTCTCTAGGGCAGTCGGCCAACACGGCCGGCGGATGAAACCTAGGTACGGGCGGCGCGGCCCCCGGCAGCGGTCATGGAGGTTGACCGTCCCGGGGGCAGCACGCAGGTGCGGAAGCGGCGGCGGCTAGGTTTTAGGATCGACTTGCGATAGATACCTTGTTGGAAGGGAGAGAGGGATTGATGAAATAATTCGATGTATTGCTTGAGCTTCATGGGCATATATATAAGAATACATAATCATCTTGGAATACAAGGCAATGTAGAATAATATCCTACGCTATCCTAGCTTTCCTAATAATCATGATACTCAACAGTGTTGAAGGCTGGATGCACTGGAGCTGCGACTGCCCAGAAAATGGCGATGGAGATGATTTCAGAGCCATAGAAGCCATGATCGAGGTTGCCAGGTGAATGACAGTAAGCTCTCGCTCTTTCTTTTTTTTCTTGAATATGCACGAGTGTGCATATCATATATTATAGAAGAAAAAGGCTAAGTATGCCTCCACCATAATTTACAAGGTTTTGTTTTTACAAGCTAATCCTCATCACTCACCCACCTCTCTACCCTAGCAACGAAAGGCATTGCATCTCCTCGTAGTAACCCAGCGGTTGACCAAGAGGAACCCTCCGCGCACATGCTTCTTAGTAACTGCTCAACCGAAGGACGCGCGCCCTCGAAGACAATGGCATTCCTATGCTTCCACAACTCCCACCAAGTAAGCGCAAAGATGGTGCGAAGGTCCTTCGTGTTGACGTTGTTTGAACCACGCTTGTCAACGGCCCACTCCACCAGCGTTTCTTGGGCAGTATGAATCCAACTTGGTGTCCCTAACGCGATGAAGATCGATGCCCACACTGTGCGAGCAAAAACACATGCGAGTAGAACATGGTCGATCGTTTCCTCCTCTTGATCACAGAAAGGGCATGCGTCCTGATGGGGTAGGCCTCTGCGTGCTAGTCGATCCGAGGTCCAGCATCGATTCTTCATGGCTAGCCATGTGAAAAACCTGCATTTCATCGGAGCACGTGATTTCCATGTCAGGTCCGCTGTTTGGGCCACCTCCCGGCCCCAGAAAGCTGTCGCATAAGCTGATTTCACAGAGAACTGCCCATTTGTCTCCCACGACCATGTTATCTCATCCGGCTCGTCATCAGAAAGCTCCCAACCATTGAGCAGTTGCCATAGCGCTAGAAACTGGTGTAAGGTTTCCGGTTCAAGGTTGGGGCTGATGTCCATCGCCCAAGAGCCGTCCTGCATGGCCGTACTGACCATCCTCAGGTTGCGAGTGCGGGGGTGCACCAATTCATAGACTCGCGGCGCCAACTCCTGTATTCTTTGTCCATGAAGCCATCGGCCCTCCCAAAAGCGTGTTGTTCGTCCAGACCGCACAGTGCTCCTCATGGCTGCTTGACATAGCATTTGTGCTTCTTCCGGGACTTTGACTATGAATTCCTTCCGTGGTCTTGACTCATCCGTCCTCATGAGCCACGGCCAGCGGGCTTGCATGGCAATATTCATCCATATGAGGTTTGGCAGCCCCAATCCACCTGCCCACTTCGGCGTACAAACCATATCCCATGCAACAACACAGTTACAACCGTTTGCCTCAGCTCTTCGGCACCATAAGAAACCTCGACAAATCTTGTTCATTGCCGATATAGTTTTTGCAGGTAGGTCCAAAGCCATCATAGCATGGATTGGCATTGCACACAAGACAGACTGCACAAGAGTTAGTCGCCCGCTCTTGGGCATCAAAGCTGCTCTCCATTTCGGTAGCTGATTTGCCATGTGATCCACCAAAATTTTTAACTGTGTTGCGGTTTGCTTCCTTAGCGATAGGGGTAGCCCAAGATACTTGATCGGGAACGATCCCAAGGGGCATTGCAACTCATTGCATGCCATTGCAATCTCCTCCTCAGAGCACCTGATAGGTAGGGCCGCGGATTTGCTCATGTTGATTCTCAGCCCTGATGCCTCCCCAAAGATCTCAAACAGGGACTTGCATACCTCAAGGTCCATTGGATTTGGCTTGATAAATAGCACCACGTCATCAGCAAAGATAGAGAGACGTTTCCTCATGCCAACACGCGCCAGGGGTGACACCAGACCTCTAGCCATAGCCACCTCGAACAACCTTTGAAGGGGCTCCATCGTTAGAATGAAAAGCATTGGAGAGATCGGGTCCCCCTGCCTCAACCCTTTACAATTTTATATCGTGTCTCCCGGCTCACCATTCACCATGATCTTGGTGGTCGATGTTGCAAGTATCCCGCATATCCAAGACCTCCACCTTGGTCCGAAGCCCATTTGATTCAACACCTCAATAAGAAAAGGCCATTGAACGGAGTCAAAAGCTTTAGATATATCTAGCTTTAGCAGCACACTTGAACTCCTCAAAGCATGCAAGCGTCGTGCCATGCTCTGCACAAGCATGAAGTTGTCATGCAGCGATCTGCCCTTAACGAATGCACTTTGGTGGTTCCCAACCAACTTGGGGAGATCCTCCACCAACCGACTGGCCAAAACCTTTTCAAAGATCTTGATGGCCCCGTGGACAAGGTTTATAGGCCGGAAGTCCCTCACCTCCAAAGCCCCCTCCTTCTTTGGCAAAAGTGAGACAAGGGACTTATTAATTGCGGCCAAACCTCTCATGTCCCCCTTGTAGAAACTGTTCATCGCTCTCATGAAATCCACCTTGATTATGTCCCAGCAAGTTGCATAAAAATGACCAGTGAACCCATCCGGCCCCGGAGCTTTGTCCATGGGCATGCTCTTGATTACTTTCTCCACTTCCTCATCCATGAACGGGCTCTCCAAGTGATGTAAGTCCAGGTGCAGCAAGCCCAACATGTCAAGGTTGAGGGCATGTGACCTCTCCTCCGCATCGCCAAAAGCTGCACCGAAGTATGTGTCCACCGCCGATGCCACCTCGTCCTGCCCAGAGTACAGGTTGCCGTTGTGCTTCACAACTCTTATGATATTCTTTCTTTGCCTATGACTGGCTTGCTGATGGAAAGGCCTAGTATTTCCGTCACCCTCACGTAGTTGCAACAGCCTTGATCTTTGCCTTACTATCGTCCTCTCTAGAGAGCTCAAACCCAGCAGCTTCTTCTTTAGACACTTCCTCAGTGCCCTCTCAGCATCAGATAGCGTCCTTGTCTCCATGGCCACGTCAAGCTGTTTGATAACTTCAAGTGCAACCAAAATTTGCAATTTCACATTGCCGATCCAACGGTCACTCCACCTTTGGAGGCTCACAGCAGTTGCCCTTAACTTGTTATGCAGCGTGAGGTAGTCATTGTTGGCTACAGGTGTGGTGGACCAAGCCAGCTTTACTACATCCATGAAACCCGGGGCTCGAATCCAGAACGACTCAAACTTGAAACGACTCTTCATATTAATGCTCACATTCATATCCAGCATCAGTGGGCAATGATCAGACACAGCCGTGCCCAACGCAGAAAGGAAACTTGTTGGATAGGCCTCGTCCCAGTCATTCGAAGCAAAGACATGATCGATCTTCTCCAAGGTAGCCACTCTTCGTTCGTTTGACCAGGTGTATCTTCTGCCGTTCAAGTATATCTCTTTTAGTTCCAAAGCATTGAGCTTAGCCCGAAACCTCCCCATCATTCTTCGGTTGATCAAGGCATTGTTCTTATCCTCCTCGCAAGTGATGAGATTAAAGTCCCCGGCCACGAGCCAAGGCCCAGCGTGCAGGTCACGAATATCCACTAAATCCTAAAGGAACTCTACATTATCCTCCTCCTCTTGTGGCCCATAAACACATGTGAGCCACCAGGGCAGGTCGTCCTCAGGGCATTTAACAAGCACAGTTAATGTGTGGTTGGTATAGTGTGGGTTAGAGAGTTGAGTCATCGTGGCATCCCAGGCCACCAAGATCCCACCACGCGTTCCGGACGCAGGCAAATAGAAAAACTTCTCAAACTTAGCACCGAGGCATTGTCGTACAATGTTTAGCGACACAACATGCAACTTAGTTTCTTGGAGACACACAATGGCAGGACAAGCCTGATTGACCACCTGGAAGACCGCATTCCGACGAGCAGGTGCATTTAGCCCTCGGACATTCCACACCATGATCCTCAAAGGTTGCTCATTCATTTCAATCACCAACCGAGCCACCAACGCGTGCATTAGCACACCTCCACCCCATCCAGAGGCTCAACCGGCGATTCCCACCCGAACAAGGCGAGTACAGCGGCAATGTGCATGTCCGAAAGCGGATGGGAAAATAGGTCGACGTACATCCTAAGTGCTTCTTCCGAAATTGTCTCCCCTTCATGCGCCAGGCAGAGCTTTCTAATGAGCACTTTCTGTTGCTTGGAGGCCCCTTGCTTCGCCAGTCTTGCACTCCTTCTTGGTGTTACGTCCAGTCTTCTTTTCTTCCTTGGGTTGCGCATTTGCCCCGCCGGCGCGTGGGTGGTTGGGAGCGGCAGGAGAGGGGTTAGGGTTCTGCACATCTCCACGCGCATGGTCTCCAAGTCATCTTGCAATAGCAAGCCGCTACCAGCCCTTAGTGGAGTGGTCTGCACCGGCGCGTCCTTATCAGCATGTACTACTACATGATCTGGTGTGCCCTGGAACTGCCCATCTTCAGGCTCATCAACAGTAAATAATGCATGCACTGGCAGACTCCCCACATCCACGCTATGTACCATGCATGTTGCATGGGTGCAACTTGCATCCGATAGGCACACTTGGAAGGTCTCCATGGCTTCCACTTGGTTGTTTTGTCCACAATCGCACATGTCGCTGTCCAGCAGGTGGGACCGTGAGTGCAGAGCCCAGGAGTCTGTGGAAAAGCTGCACCTGTCCTCATCCAGCTGGTCCGCCAGGGGGATACGACAAGAACCAACCAGCACCGAGTCGCTGTCACGCAGATCCCCAGCAGGCACCAGATCCCCAGACCTATCCACCTCGGGCGCGCGGCCAATCCTGTCTGCCCTCACCCATCTCGACAACTGGACCGAGGCAGGGGAGACAGGCTGATCAACAACGGGACCCACAGGCGCCTCAGGCCGAGCCCCAACTGGCTGGTCGCACTCCACATCAGGCGCCTGCCCAAAAGCCTGCTGTGGACGCAACCCAATGACCTCGCCAACACAGCTGTTGTTGACCAAAGACTGGACCTGATCGAAAGCAGTTTGAACCTGACGCCCCGCCGGCGGTGGCGCCACCGACGAGGATGAACCCACCGTGCTGGCCGAAGAACCGCCAGCAGCCGAGCCCCTCCAGGGCCTATGGAGGCCAGAACCCGGTACATCCTCATCGTTGCCGGAGGATGGCGACGGTGGCGGCGGAGGAGGCGGAGTCGCCGGCCGTCGCCGTCTCCGTCGTCCACCAGCACCGGCTCCGCAAGCACGGTGATAT